AATCCTTTTCATTTAGAAAGACTACACCTGGCATTGCTTTTGTGTTTTCTCCTTTCCACAGTTAAACAGAACCACTCACTGCTCCAAATGGGACCTGTTCTATTATTAAAAGTCATTTCTTTTGGCACATTTTTAACCTGTCTTAAAATGATAACCGTGGGACCTTGATAAATTGATTGAAAAACTTCTCCTAAGGTGGCTTTGTTAAGACATTTATTTTAAGAATAACTCTCAGTAGAATTTATTGGTGAGTTACTTTATCTATTCCCAGTATTAAATTATTTCCCCACCAAGGGTGTTATTATTCCTTTCCTGACAGTAATGAAAAAAAAAAAAAAATGAAACTATCCTCAAACAATGCTATGTTGGCTACTGGCTCTGATGTCAGTAATTTTGAGAATACTCCCACCAGAAGCTATAAATTATAAATATAAGGTCTGGAAAAAAGAGAAACACCAAAGAGTGAGGAAAAGCAGTGATTACAGTTTCAAATAAATGTCAACAAAGCAAACACATAGGCACCAAGGGGGCAGGATTGTTCACTCAAGGAAGTGAGAGTGGGGGATGGGAGAGAGGGTAGAAAAAGATGGAACCCAAGTAAATAAAGCACACCACGAAAGGAAATCTGCAGTGTCCATTACTCAGAAGAAACTGGGCACTTTCTGAAGTAGGCACAACCTTGGAGATTTTAGTTTGTTCCCTCACTGATAAACAAGAAGTCAGCACTGATAACGATCCCTGATAACACTTCCTCTGGAATGTACAACATTCCATGTTTCTACTTCATTGTCACCACCGGACATGCATGAGTCAGACTGCGAGGTGGGAAAATTGGCCGGGCTGCTCATGGGACCATTGAAGGTATAGCCAGGCCTATCCGTGTGATTTTGCCATGCTTCTTTCTCTTTCAACTCATCTCAGGAGGGATAGGTGATTTCTTTACCTTTGGATAAAGAATGCAGCGAATCATCTGTAGAGCAGATGGAAAACCAACTGGCAATTATCTAGTGCTTATGAATGGTGGGAGCAACTAGCCTAATGTGATAGACTAAAATGGGCTGCCCACAGTTCTCCCAGTTGATTAGAAAATCGGGTCAATGGAAATATTCAGTTTTCTGGATTTTGTTTTCTTTGTGTCTGAGCTTGACCAGGTAACAATGGCTGTACATACCATGTTTTTTAAGGATCTTTGGGAAGTCCTTGAATCACTGAGGTCCCACTTAGTAAACCTTTGGCCCAGGGAACTGTCTCCCGGTGGTCTGGAAGAAATCATAAACTTCTCAGATAAACTGTATCTAATCTACATGAAGGATGATAGTTCTAACTGTAAATGAGCAGACTAACCATCTTGGCCCACCTTCAACAACACACAACAGAGATTCAGACATCATGCAGTCCTATTCCCTGCACCCAGAAAGAAACATGCTGGCCAGACTTACTAAGAGAAATTGAAGAGAAGTTTTATAAATCCTAGTTTTTGTCTTGCGTTTAGAGATAGCTCCACTTATATCTTGAAGAAATCAACATGCTTATTGAGCTTCTGGACTATTTCACTAAATCACAGGTCACAAACTGACAGAGACATGTATGTGTTCAGTTTGATATACATAAGGTTTTTTCTTTTCTTTCTCTGTTTTAATGCTTTCAGGTCTAGTTTGCCCCAGGTCCACCACTTCCTATTATCTTACATCCAAAATCATTTGGGTTAGGACCACAGGGTATAGTGTCCTATTGTACAGCATAAGGAAAAAGACAAACATTGGCCTCACTGGTTTAGCCCGGTTCACATTAACAAATGAATTGTGTTTCTTTTTCTGGATGTAGACCGTACCTCATTTTTATACATGCAGTTGTTCACATACATAATTGTGAACATCTCAGTATACTCTTGAAGTTTGCTATATCCTTTGAAAGGGGTGAAGAAATGAATCAATTAGTTGCAAGCATATTTTGATCACCTGCTAGATGCCAAATGACTTGCAAGAAACAAAGAGGGAAAGGTGCACATTTATTACACATTGAATATGTACTAGGAACTTATGCTAAGCACTTTACAGACATAATCTCTTTTGCTTTGTCTTTTAAAATAACCTTCAGAATTACTCTATAGGAAATAGGTATGACATTGTCATCCCATTTTACAGTTGAGGAAAATGAGCCTTGGAGAGCTTAAGTGACTTGCTCAAGGTCACACAGTTAGTGTATAGCAGAGCATGGATTCAGACCTACCTCTTTCTGATTGCAGACTAGAAACCTGACCCCTACTTGGCTGGTCATGCTGCCATAAAATACTATTAGCTTATTAAGGGCTTATTACTATGTCTCATTATATACATTATCTTCATGTACTTTCACAATAAGTGTATCAAAGGCTATTATTATCCCAGTTTTATAGTGAGGAAACCAAGAAGTCAAAAAACAAACAAAAAGCTTAAATTTACATTTAAAGCCTAGAGCTGAGACTCAAACCCAGGGGTCACTCCAGAGTTAATGGTTTAATGTGCCCCCTCCCATACAGTGAAAGCTACTATTAATGTGTTTTGAAAGCAGCCAAAAAGAAAGTCTGCATAAGATGTGTTTACATAGAAATTCATAATAGAAGAGGGTTACTTGGATATGCATTGTTTTTCTCTTAAATAAGCCTCTCCATTTTATTTCTGGACATACCCACTTTATAAAGAGGGCTAAGTTGAATATGTTTTTAATTTGCTTAGAGTAGTTACACTTTAGGAGTGTCTTTAACTTCTCATTTTTATACACTTTTTCTTCATTTTTATTTTTTAATTTTTATTTCATTTTTGAGAGAGAGAGCATGAGCTGGAGAGGGGCAGAGAGAAAAGGAGACAGAGAATCCAAAGCAGGCTCCATGCTGTCAGCACAGAGCCCAGCATGGGGCTCAAACCCACAAGCCGCAAGATCACAACCTTAGCTGACACTCAACTGACTGAGCCACCCAGGTGCCCCAGGAGTGTCTTTAACCTCTTAAATGTCCACATATCCAAGTAGATCTAAGATTTCTCAATCAGGGCTCTAAAGAAGAACCAACCCATCGGATGACACCCTCTCTGGATCCATCCCTTTAGGGAACAATTTAAAAAGTGCAAGAGAAATGTCCAGTCAAGTCCTATAACTATACCAAACTGTACCATGTCAGAATAGGATTACATATGAAAGAAGAGTTAGTGATACCACAGGACAACAAATAATAAGTGCCAAATGAGTACAGAAAAGGAGATGTTATAGTAGTTTATAGGAAAGCGAGATGTGCTGCAGCTCTGGAGGTCAAGAAAAAGAGCAAAGTAAGATGATTAAGAAAGGTTTTGAGTTGCACAGATTTGGGTTTAAATCTACCTGTATGACTTTGAGCAAGTTATTTGACTTCTCTATCAGTCCTGTTTGTTCATCTATAAAATGGGAATTTTGAGACTAGATAATAAATTTTCAATGTTTTCCATGGTGCCCTGCCTGTTCTTATTGTAGTATAATTGTTTGCCAGTCTCCTCCATTAGCCTGTAACCTCTGCAAACACTGGATCTGTGTCTTACTCATCTTTGTCTCTCAGCCTTTGATATAGTGCTTAAGCTCATCCCCATTGCTGATGTTTCCTTCTGTGCCAAGGATATTTCATTATCAGATTCCTCTTGCTCTTTCCCGGCTCTTGACATATTCCACACTAGGAGAAGTGAGCAGTTGACCTGATTGGTGGGTCAGTAGGAGCTTACCATATGCCACCCTTCACGTGGTCTTTGGAATGAATTTTCTGCAGGGAAAGTGCTGTCTCTTGCACTCTTCCATACTGTGAATCTTGCTGTCCATTGCTGCCACGAGTGAGTGGCCAAGGCTTCCGAATTCTGAGGCCTAATAATATGAAGCACATTTCCATACAAATATTAAGGGATAAAGGGAGACCTGGCTGGAAAGGTAGATCAAGCCAGATTGTGGAAAAGATATTGGTATACCGTTATGGCATGACATTTCAGCAAATTCCTTATAATGTATGGATATTGATAAAGAATGGAAAGAGTCTGCATAGCGAAGCCCAAGATATATTTAAGTTGTTGTGGGGTTGTTTTTTGTTTTCGTTTTGTTTGTTTGGGGTTTCGATATTTTTGTAGTGAGGTTGTGGTTGTTTTTTGGGTTTTTGTTTTCATTTTTTTTGAAAAGACGAGAATGAGATCAATTTTTAAATTTTGTGCAAAGTTCATTTTTATGATTTTTTTAAACTATTTTTATAGTAAGGCATTAATAATCCCATCATTTGATGAATAGACCTGTTACATCAGGTTTTTTGTTTGTTTGTTTTTTAACCAGGTGTGGTCTAGGGACCATCTGCCTCAGAATTACCTGGAGAGGTTTAGAATGCAAATTTTCTGTGCCTCACTTCAAATCTGACAGACCAGAATCCCTGGGGATGAGACCTAGTGAGACCTAGGAATGGGAGTTTAACATTCTCAAGTGATTTTTATGTTTATTGTATTAAGGACATCACCTGTAACAGACAGGTTAATTCAATTTAAATGTATCTACCAAAGGAAATTGGGGGGGGGGGGGCGGTTATTACTAAATCAGATTATTGACCAGAATGATTACCACTAGGGACCCTTTTTCCTATAGAGCAGGGCAGCCCTTCTTACTCAGCCAAGAATATCATCAAAACCCCCGCTGGGCCTTTGTATATGTGTCCATTTCATGTCTTAGTGATAGATCTTATGAACAAAAACAAAAAATTATGGACAGTTTTAAAACCTTTTTAAAATTACACACAAATGCACACTTTCATAAAACAAAACAAAACAAGAAGAACCCTTCCAGCTCTTCCAAAGAATCTTAGCTTCTTCGAGTTTTCCTCCTGGGATTCTCAATGACTAGAGGAAATAGGCAGGAACTTGACAAGAACATTCTTAGGCATCCGTTGCAAGCTTATTCCCACACACTGCCTTCCTTCTGTTTGAAAGTGTGGGGAAATGCTCTGCTTAAACCTGCTTTGTTTCTCTTTATAGATCATGCAACAGATGAGTGACCACCGCTATGACAAACTCACTGTGCCTGATGACATGGCCGCGAACTGTATATACCTAAATATCCCCAACAAAGGCCACGTCTTGCTACACCGAACCCCAGAAGAGTATCCAGAAAGTGCAAAGGTAAAAAACCCTCCTTCCTGGCCACTGCAGCTGAATAAGCCTCCATGACAGTCTTCCTGCCTAGGGAGTTTTTTCATGATGGAGTGACAAATAACAGGCACTTCCTTTTCCTCTATACACATCAAATCATTATGAAAGCAGAAAGGATAATATAGGTCACAAGGAAAGTTTGATTTAACTCACGCTTCTCATTCATGTCATTGGTCACTAATGTGTGCACAGTAGTTGAGGTGATTGTCTCTGGTATTCAGAACTTTTCAAATAAGTACTTAGATCTCCTAAGTCTGTGCTCCAGCTCTGATTACACATACCTCCCCACACTTAAATACCCATTAAGCATAGACACCTACAATTAGATGGTCAACTCGAATTGTTTTCGGACAAATGTGAGCTGCCCTTCCTCAGAACGTCATTAGCTTCTTATGGCAGAGAAGTATGAATGACCCAGAGGTGGCCGCTAATTGTCAGGGCTACAAAAAGAAGGGCTTTGGGCTGCACACCCCAGGTAGCAAAGGATCAGAAAGAGCAAAAAGAAAATATACTTGCAGTCAGGCACCTACCTGTCCCTCTAAGAGCCTCTGCATTTATGTGCCAACAAGGGAATTGTCCCTAGATATGGAATTCTTTCTGGTCTTAGAAGATGTTGCTTTGTCTTTCAGGGCATTCTGCCAGTCTCATTTGTATACTTTAGCAACTGCAGTTTACTTTAACCACGGAGACACAACAGTGCTCATCCATAGGCCCTCCACATGTCCATATCTGTTTTAGGCATTTCAGCATCTTCAGCTCTGCCTGAAGGAATAAGATATTCATACTGAGCATTACACAAGAGCCTTTGATAACCACTCATCTTTTTTTACATCTAACTTAAAATTTTACATCTTTAAACATTTTAGAAAATGTTTGGCTATCTTTTAAATATGTGATATTGTGTAATTACTAGGCTTATCTTAATTAGTCACCTTCTTGGCAGATTAAAAGAAAATGGTGGGGAGATACATAGATGATTTCTCTGTTTCCATGGCGGAAAGTGTGATGCTGAGGAAACTATAGGACCCCTTACCTCATACTGGGGATTAACCAGCTCTCAGATGAATAGTGGGTCTCATATTTTATTGTGCCTCAGGTTTGTTAAAAAAGCATGTTCCTAGATCTAGAATCTGCACCCTAGAATCCTAGAATCTGCAATACCAACAAGTACCTAGGTCACCGCACTCACTTGGAGAAACACAGCTCTGGATCGTTCCTGCTTCTCCAGCCACAGTGATCATCTGACAACCAGATGATGATTAACCTCTTCTGGATTCAGTCCTGTGTCTATCAACAGTAACGACGATAGCATCCATGTTCACTGAGGCTTCCCCTGCTCCAGGCACTGGGCCAAGTGCGCTGCGTGCATTATCTTATTGATTCCTTACTGCGGCCCTGGGAGGGCACTCTTGCTACTCTAATTTTACAGAGTAGTAACCCAAGGCTAAGAGGGGACATGGCATTTTGGTTGAAGTCACACTTTGGGTGGTGAGTTGACAGAACTGGGTTTGGAGCCCAGCTCTGGCTCCAGCACTCTTAATTAACCACTGTACTGAATTTTAAGGAGCAAAGTGCTTCCTGAAGAAGCAGGGTAGATTGCTTTTAGACAGCGTGTTTTCAAGGGATTTTGTTGTTGTTGTTTTTTAAATGTGCTTTGTTTGATCATCAGAGAACAATCTGTGGACTGTTAATTTGAAGTTTTGACACATGCTTTCTATTAGTGTCAAAAGATTCTATAAAATTCACACCTGTAATTTAAAAGCAGTTTGACCTGAAATACTTCATTTAAATTCTGTTTTGTCAGGTTTTTCCAGTGGTGTTGGTAAGGAAAGAAACATTAAAGTACAGTTAAGAGGGTTTTAAAGTGTGGAGAGGGAGAGTACTATTGAGGCTGAAAACACTGCCACCGGCTTTCGAGTATCACTCAATCTCCCAGTGACAACGGCAGAGTGAAGGCATCTCTAGTAACAACCACATTTTTGACACATCTTTGCCTTTGAGGTTAAAGCATAGAGCTAGTGGTTAACCAGTGCTGCTAGCTCCATCAGTATGGCTGTGGGCACATATGTGGTCTAGATTGCATGCACATCTTGGGGTTACATGGCTGAGATGCCTAAACTTGCAAGCCACATTAATTCTCTGCACTAGGCAAGGAGGTGGGGGTAGGGTAAGACAGAGGCAGAGGCACAATCCTTCTTCTTTACCTTTCCTTGATTCCTGCTGCAGGTTTATGAGAAGCTGAAGGACCATATGCTGATCCCCGTGAGCCATTCTGAACTGGAAAAGGTGGATGGGCTGCTCACATGCTGCTCAATTTTAATTAACAAGAAGGTAGACTCCTGAGTTGAAGTCCCTCCCTTGTAGCCAGCAATACTGCACTCACAAGGCCGATAACTGTACCACTCCTATCGTGTTCATTGACAATCTACTGTGCCACTGTGCTACTAACTCTGGTTTACAAAAGTCTGATTCCAAGTTTGCTTCATTCTGCCCCGCCCCCCCCCCCCCCGCCCCTTGCGGTGGTACCTAAGCCGTGGGTTTTGCTAAATGAATTAAGCAATCTAGAAAATATAGAGCTAATGAATTATTGAACTGTGATTAATAATAGTAAAGAAACACTCATTTTAGTGTTTGTATTATTGGTGTGAAATATATATATGCTGTTTAGTTGCCAATATATGCTAAAGGGTATCTTCTTGATCAGTCAGATAGGCTGGGTTGTTTTGTGTTTTGTTTTTTGTTTTTCTCTGTATCATTAATCATCTTTGGTTCCTGAAAAATTCCCTCGTTCCTGGATCCTCTCCATTTCCTTCTTTTTTTTTTTTTTTTTTCATCTGAACTCTGGAAATTTTGTTTCCAGTTATTTTCTTTTGCCTTTCCCACTTCTATTACCTTAGGTAAAATCCACTGTCTTGCCTTCTGGATACCTTCTTGCAGGCCTCCCCCATCTGCCGCATCCGTCTCCTCTGGCTCGTGGCTACGTATTTGGCCACCACCTCCATTCTCCCCAGGAAAGGCAGACAGGTCCCTCAGCAGAATTGTGACCAAAATCAGAGAGACTATTTGGGGAAGAGTTAACTACAAAGAAGCATATCCTGATGGGGTTTGCCCTAGATAACTAAATTCCATAAGTAGGACACCACAGCTAGGAAGGTAAATTCAGCTCCATAGGGTTGCTAGGATCGTAGATCAAGACACTTGGAAACACCATATGGGTACAATGTCTTAGGAAGTCTTTTAAGTCACATTCCATGAATTTTTGCTTTATCACTAGCCATTTACAGACCTTGGGGAATACTCTTATTTATTCCATCAGCTCATTTCTATTCCCACACCCCCCCCCCCATCGTGACTCACCCTATTTCCAGCCTTCTACCCCCCTGCAATTATCCTGGTCTAACGACATTATTTCTTTCAAAAGAGACATTGCATCTAAAAGTGATTATTGATGGTCTAGTGAGAGCCAGATGGAGCATGTACAGGAATTGATCTGCTTGGTGCTTGAAACCACAGACAATGGACAATTCTACTTTGAAATATCTATGATTATGTACTGTGGAATTCAATTAACACTTCTTTCCTCTCTAGCTTTTAAATTACACAACCTAAAACTGATGCCAGTCTCTTACAAAGAACAATGCCGCAGTGAAGGGAGAGATCATTGTCTTTTACTTAAACCTGAAAGAAACAGCCTCTTAGCAGGCCAAGGAAATGGTACTTTCCAAGGAATGGTGACTGATCCAGGCATGTTATCAAACTTCCTAGTCATCTCCACCTTTCCGGTATTGCCTGTAGCTTGTTGTTCAAGATTAACAATCAGGGAGATTAAGAAATATGACTGAAAGTCTTGCTCTGCTTACCTATGTATTTCTAACCAATCATTTCTTAGGTTTAGTGACCAAATGGAAGTGATAAGCCTCTGAGAAAACCAAGGCATCCGTAACTACTATCTGTCTTTCTCATTTATTTGATGATCTAATGCCAGGATTTGAAGAATTCCTTTCCTCTCCTTTTTGCTGAACTTTAAATTCATTTCACATGCAGATATCTTATATAGCATCCCATGAATGAACCATATCTTAGTCACTGTCATATTTGGAATTGTCTCATCATAGGTGAATAGTATGTTTTTACCAGAGAGAAAATGAATGTTACCCACATGCTCAAGTTAATAAGGAAAAATTGTCTTCCACAATTATGGTTGCCCTTTTGGGTTAAATCTGGCTCTGAGCTGGCAAAATCAAAACTTCTCCCTGGAAGAGGTCAGCATCTCAGAAACAATCTGGGGAAAATTAACCTAGTCAGCCACATGAGGCTTAATAGCAAGTGGCATATAATTTTTAATATCTTTACTTCTGTCATCCCCAACTGAAGAACTGTATTATAGTCGATTGCAGGTAGTTAGATTTTTCTTCTGAACAATCTGTTCTGCAGAAGGCTGTTTTCCACCTTTCCTTTCCTTTGCTTGCCCTCTTTGCTCCTCTGTCCCAAGAAATCACTTAGAATCTGTGTGCCTCTTCTACAGAATCTCATTCTATGCTATGTCAACTGACTAGGTTGTCTTCTTTGGACTCCCTACGTGATGATGTGAAAACCCAGAATATCTGCAGCATAGTCGTAGTATTTTTTGATGTTCTCGTAAGCATAATGTTCTCTGTTCGGAGGAAAGATAACCTGTTACTACATAGGTTCCCCTCTGGCCGTTGTGATTTATAAGGATAAATAAACTAACAGAAGCTGCTCTTTGACATTGTGAAGACAATAGGAATTATATTAAAGTAAGGAAAAGTTGAGTCAGAATTACTTGGTCGGTAAGATTCAATCTAATAGGGGCAATATAGAGAAAGTACATTATTTAGCATTATTTCTTCAACTCTAATGAATCGCTATAGAAATCAGCAGGCAGATCTCTAATGTGTATTGATTGCTCTTTAAGCTACTGTGAACAGATTACTAAGGCTATCTCTTCATCTCTAAGGGGGAAATAGTCTGTAGATGAATAATGTGACTTATATAGAGTTGCATGTTAGTCTTGGTAATTATTTAATCTTAAACATTCTACAGAACTCAGACATGATTTCAACATGGTATTAGATGTGTGCATTTTGATTTGCTGACCATCACATTCCACCCAATGTATGGTTATCCACTCTGTGTGCCAAAACCAGTAAATGCCTTTCACGGCTCTTTAGTCCAGAGAAGTTCTGCACTGATTTTGGTCTCTTATTGTCCTGATCCTACAAGTATACAAATCACGATGGAATAAAGTGTGAATTATACTGTGACCAACAGCATGTGTCTCTTTTTTGCAACAAAAACTGCTGTAGTAAATGAAGTCACCACTGCCTTGCTGTCAAGAGATGGGAAGTTTTCTCTGTTGTCCCATAATTAGAAATACTGTACCTGTAAATCCACTGCCATCAAAATCTTGGGTTGAAACGATATTTGAAGTGATACTTCATACTTCAGGCACTAAAAAGTGTGCATGATACCCAGGCGAGGTCAGGAGATCTTGATTTCACATGTGCTCCTCCTTAAGGCTTCCTTTGTTCCCTTTCACTCCTAACTGTGGTCAGCACATTACACGGTTCAGTCATGGAAACCATGCAACAATTTTTTCCTGTGTTCATGCAAGAGTTTGGTTTTGGTTTTGTTTGTTTGCAGTAAGCATCTTTTAGGAAATTTGAAGATTTTTTTAATGAGTCTTTTTTATTTCCACCAATTTTTTTTCGAGCTGAAATCAGCTTTATTGTTTTCCTTTTCTGATTGTAAAAATAACCACTCACTGTAAAAGTAAAATTCAAATAATACAAAAGAAACTATAAAAATAAAAGTAAAGAAAAAATACCCAAAATTTCATAACCTAGAGGTGCTCTTCTTAATATTTTGAAGAATATCCACACATCTATAAAGAGGTACAGATATAAATGTGGAATAATTTTACATAATTATGCAGTTCAGTAGCCTGCCTCCACTTAACAATAGATTGAAGGCATCTCCCCATGTCAATAAGTAGAGATCTACATCATCAATTTTAACAGCCCTGAATATTCTATGATACGGTTGTCGAAGCAGTTCTTTCTAATTTATATGGAGTGTTACATCACAGATGTTCAGTATGCCCATGTTGCTAGTAGCCCGGGGTCTTCAAGCCGTCAAAAATGTGCTGCTTATGAGGTTTCACACACACCCAGAGTCAGTTCAATCTGGTGCCTTCTCGTGGTAACTAAATGGTATGTGCACTTGCTCATTAGAAGCACAGAGTAATTAAAATTCCTTGGAGACATCATTGTTGTACCATATCTTCTCAACTTGATTAGTTCTCCCTTATCTAGGCCAGCATTGAAATGGCATGGAAGCTAAAAAGAAAATGCCAACTACCACCCTGGCACATCTGCCCAGGGCCCCCGTAGGCAATGGAACCCTCCACCTAAGTGCCAGAGTACTTACTCCTCACAGAAGAGAAAGGAGAACTTTTTAAAGGAAGAGTTGGCAGGGCTTTCCTGACTGATCTTCCTCCCAGCCTTCCAGAAGAATGGCAGAAGGTAAGAATGAGAAAAATCCCCTCTCGTGACAAGCTACAGATTCTGGAAATGGGACTTTTAGCTGAATGAATAATGCTGGTCAACAATATTTTTAGACAAGTGAGCACATATTTAACAAATGTGCACACTGCCAGGCTCTGGGGTGCAGCTCCTGTCTTTCCAGAGCTGGCAGTGTGGGAGGGCCAAGGAAGACAACACAAGATCACAAATGATTATGACACAAAAGAAGGTAGGGTAAGAACTAAAAAGAACAGCACCATGGTGGTTCCCAAGTAGGGGAGACCTGACAGAGGAACCAGGGTTTGATCTGGACTTGGAAGGACAGCCCAGGCTTCAGTAAGCCAAGATGGGAGGCCAGGTATTTGAGGATGAGGAAACAGCATGAACAAAGGCATGGAGGTGGGAGAGCATAGTATGCACTTCAGAAGTGCTTCTCGTGGGGGCACCTGGGTGGCTCTGTTGGGTTAAGCATCGGACTCTCAATTTCAGCTCAGGTCATGATCTCAGGGTCATGAGATGGAGCCCTGTGTCAGCATGGAGCCTGCTTGGGATTCTCTCTCATTCTCTGTCTCTCTCCATCTCTGTCTCTGTCTCTGTCTCTGTCTCTGTCTCTCTCTGTCTCTCCTTTCCTGCCCCCCTCTCAAAATAAGTTAATAAACATTAAAAAAAAAAGTGCCTATCGTGTACCAGTTAACTATGCTAGACCCTGGGGGCACAATGGTGACAGGACCTGCTTTGCTAGAATTCACATTCACAGAGGAAGACAGACATTAAACAAGGGATGGCAGGTGTGATGAAGATTGTAGGAGAATGGGGTGTGCAGAGCAGATGGTAGGGGTAAGCAAGTAGATTTGTTGGGCTGAAACACAGGGAAATACAACACTGAGACCATGCAGGTTGGGATGTCAAGAGTCTTGCCTGCTAAAAGGGGATATTAGACTGAATCAGCAGTCTGTGAGGATCTCCTGAAGACTTTGGGGTCAGGGAGTGATATTACTGCATATGGCAGCATCATACAGGATGATGGGGACTGAGACTGGCATTTTGCTGAGTTTAATTTCCCCTGGTTTAATTTGTCATTTAAATATCTCTTCTCACCACCAAAATGGAGCCTGAAAGCCAGGCAATTATCTCTCTATATGTATTTTCTCTCCTGAAAAACAGATTAATAACACCTTTCCCTCCCAACTCCAAAGGGACATTTTCAACACAAATGAGATAAAAAGGACTGAAGAGTTCTTTGGAAGAAAGGTATAATGTAAATATCATTATCATCATCATTATCCTCATTAACTCCTATCACAGCAAGTCTGGATCCCATCAAAATGTCATCTTCTATTTGAAACATCAATCACCGCTCCAGAAATAACAAGATTTTCATCATTGATGCCTGTAAGCTAGCCTGACAGCTTCCATGGCGAATTCACAGGTTTCCTTGGTAGCCGACATGGCTGTTCTGAAGACATACTTGCGTGAGGCAACTGTTGGCAAATCAGAATGTTCCCCATCTCCCTTCCCCCTCCAAACATTCATTTCTAACTCAGTGAAAGCTGGCCACTTATAGCACAAGATAACTGAGGTTATCAGCCTTTTAGGAGAATGTGTAAGAGCCAAATATGTTACTGTCACTATAAATAAGTACAAGATTCAAACCAGTATGCCAGCTAACCTCTTGGTAAAATATAGCTTGGGCTGGCTTGTGACATGAATCCCTAAAAGTAATGTTGGGTCTCTAGGTCTTAGGAAGCCCCCTCTGTTTATAAATAGAAAGTTTAGTCATCTAGCTATGAATACAAAGAAAGAGTTTCAGTGAATTAACATAGACCTAAGAAAGTAGCTTGCTTTTTCCTATGCTTAAGTATTAAAAGAATTTTTTTAAGTTCCTGCTCATGGACAAAGAAACATATTGATTAGCTAGGACTTTGGGATAGAACTCATAGGATGACAGCTCAAAGTTAAATTAGGAAACCATGTGCTATGTGTTGAAATTTTCCACTATCTCTCAAAGGTGCAAAAGACTCTACATACTTCACATTGATGCAGGAAACGTTCAGGAACCAAACCACTTCTGATTCTAAACGACAGCCAAGCTATGTAGAAATGTTACCTCTTCTACTTCTGGAAAGAGCTTGTGGAATAAACACATTCGTGGATGCAACAGAGGCTTCAAATTCCAGGGCAGGACACGAACAAAATCATCTGTCTTGTTTACATGGGACCCATGTGAGCATATGAGGTCCCCTAGAGTTAATTCTAGGACAGCAACATGGGGCTTGCTTCCTTTTTTAGGCTTGATAATAATTAGGGGAGACCAAAGGAACATTGTTATCAATGGAAGGATGGTAACAAGAAGTTTATCTGACAAGAAATAGAATTCACCCCTCCTTAGATCAGATAAAGAGATTTGAATGATGGTCTGTGTCAAAGGTATGGATGTTCAGGGTAAAAACAAGGGGTGGTGACACCCAGAAACCAGCTGTCAGCAGCACCCTTATGACCAGCAGAACAAGGACAGAAAATCATGCTACTGCATCTGAGACAGAGAAAGAAGGTCCACAGCTCCAGCCAGAGATCAGGTTCCAGAACAGGGAATCCAACTTCAGCCTCTCTTTCCACTCTCTGATCTGCTGGTGCCTCCAATGACTGAACAAAATGGCAAGATGGCCAGTGGGGGAGCCCAGGCAATGCCGTCTTCAGAGGTGAGCCTCCTGGGCCATAGAGCTGGCAGAGAAGGGCAGAGAAAGGATCTGGAAAGGGTAGAGGATATTCAGCACAATGCCACACTATGAAAATGAGCTCTTACCCCTTCAGAAAGGGCCATCACCAACTCTGTCTCTCAAGGTTGGCATTTAAATCATTTTTCTTGGCAAATTGCTCAGGCACATGCCAGTTCTATGGTCTGGTTCTCCCTCTCAACATCAAAAAATGGTTGGAGCAGAATCAACAGTAGGACAGGAGTCTGCATAGCCTGAGGGTGAGAGTACATCACATTCCAGACCCATGAGTCCTGGACCTCTTTAGTAAGCACTATGTTAATTCTAAAATTAGAGCAGTCCCTTGGGCACCTGGTGTTCAAAAACAGCTAGGTGCCTTTTTACAGCATGCTCATGACCTGCTGGTGACATAAAGTTGTTTAGGATTCCAAAGAACCTATTTTCTGTTTCCCCTTCTGTTTGTACACACAGCCAATCCCGCTAGGCTCAAGCTGTGTTTGGCCATGGTTATGTTGTTCCTGGGGATAATATTCAGATATTCAGTCTAAACTAATAGCAGCTAGCTCCCCATTCCTGGAGGTGTTCAAGCAGAGACTAAAGGACCACATCCAAGAGTGGTTGTAGAGAGATTACTCAAGCAGGTAAAATCTAATATAGATAACATCTAACATCTTTTACCACCCTTCAATTCTATAATTAGGTTTTGTGCTGTTCTGATCCTTGGTGACTTTCCTTCCCACTCTGGGCCCTACCCCCCAGTCTCTTGAACATATGAACATTGTTCTCATCTATTAAATAACAATAATAAAAGTTCCACGTCTATCATGATTGCATGAGATCCGTGGACTGACTCTCCAACAAAACTGAGGAACATTTTTTTTTTGATGGGTCATTTTTTCCAGGTTTATTCAGGTATAAATGACAAAATTGTAATGTATTTAAGTTGTACAGCATGGTAATTTGATATATGTATATATGACGAAATGATTCCCACAGTCAAGTTAACACATCCATTACCTTTAGACA